CTTCACCTGTCACCCCTCCTCTCCTTTCTGACTCAGCTTAGACATTGACTTCTCCAGGAAACCCTCCCTGACCCTCCCCTGTGCTCTCACAGCCTATGGACTCTGAGAGGGTAGGGCCCATGTGGGCTTTATTATGGTGTTTTCAGAGGCTGATACTCAATAAATCTCTTTAAATGAGTGGAACAATAACCTCTATGGACTGCACATTTCTTATCTGTAAAATGAAGATAATACTATTTGACACACATGGTTCTGAAGACAGCCACGGAAGATGATGTACACGAATTTCCCATCACTGTGCAAGACATATAACAGATGCTCCGGAAATGTAGTTCTGATTTCCCTGACCTTTAATGTTCATGGCTACATGTTCTTTGCTGTTTAAAAATACTGTACAGTTTTGGAGTCCTTTTGACCCCAAAGCATGACTGGCTTNTAAAATGAAGATAATACTATTTGACACACATGGTTCTGAAGACAGCCACGGAAGATGATGTACATGAATTTCCCATCACTGTGCAAGACATATAACAGATGCTCCGGAAATGTAGTTCTGATTTCCCTGACCTTTAATGTTCATGGCTACATGTTCTTTGCTGTTTAAAAATACTGTACAGTTTTGGAGTCCTTTTGACCCCAAAGCATGACTGGCTTATTGCTCAGGTTTACACTGAAATGTCACTTCCCCACAAAGACATTTTTTGACCACCGCATCTAAAATAGTCCCCACTCACTCCATCACTCTCCACTCTAATACTTGCCTTATCTTGACCCAAACTTTATTCTTTTTCACTTGATGTCTGTCTCCCCTTCCTAGAATGTGAGCGCCATGAAGGCAGAGACCTTGGCTGACTCATCCATTGCTGCAGCCTCAGGGTCCAGAGCTGAGCCTGGCACATAGCACCCATCTGGAGTTTCCAGGGCCAAGGCTGTAAAGTCTCTAGGGGCTCCCTGGGAACAAACGCATGCACGCAACAGAGAGAGAGAGAGAGAGAGAGAGAGAGTGTGGTGTGTGTGTTTGGGACAGAGGACAGTGAGGCATCTCTCCCCCTCCTTCATCATACATCCCAGCGATGTGGAGACTGGGGGAGACTCTGGTAGCTCCCTAGCCGTGTTCCCTGAGGGAAATTAGGAGTAACAACCTCTCCAGAGCCCTGCAGATGCAGGTCACTGGGGGTATAGTGGAGGGGGCATCACGTCCTTTGCCTGGTGACCCCAGGCATCTGGGGCTGAACACAGGCCTTTCTTAGCACCCCTGACTTATAGCCCATCTGCCGGCAAGGAGGGGCTGGGGTGCTTCCCCCACTTTGAAGGGACCCGCCCGCTGCCCTGGCTGGGACCTCAGGCCCAGGCCTACCTCTTATTGGTGCCATTTTTCTTCCCTGTGCCCCACCTATTTCTCCCCTACCCCTGCCTTTCTGTCACCAGTGCCTGATGGCTGTCCTCCCACCGCAATCGCTGTTGGCACCAAATTCTCACACTTCCAGACCAAGTGGCGTGTGCACTTCCCTGCCTCTCCCCTACCTATGCTGCTCCGCTCAGGCTTCCAGGGGTCAGCCCCCACCCCTCAGCCACTGTGGGGCCTTGCCAGCCCGCCACCCCCCACCCCTGTCACTCTGGCCCTTGTCCTAGGCATGTGAGACAGATTCCAGAGAAAAACTCCCCAAGGCTCCCACCCAATCCATTGAGGAGGGACACTCTCAGTCTCCACTTGTCCCCTCTCCTCTCCCCGCTGCAAGCCTACTTGACTTCTGGCATGAGAGGTGGGGAGGGCACAGGGCTGCAGCTTTGGGCCCAGTGTTAAAAGGACACCCCCACCAGCTCACCCCCCTCCACCACCTGGGCAGTCTACAATCACTGCCTCACTCTCAGAGTTGTCAGCGCCCCTGGTTCTAGAGCTCCCAGCCCTGCAGGGCCCCAGAGTGCTTGAGGAGGAAAGGACTTCAGGGCTCAGAGGTTTGTGAAGTGGGTTCTGCAGTGCCCTGGAACTGATCCGTGTGCACGTGTGTGTGTGTATGTGCGTGACACGGACTAAACACTGGGGCTCTGGGCCTCCACCCCTATTTTGACCATAGAATCCCTAACTTTTTCTCCATTACCACAGCAGACAGAGGTGCCACATAAGTTACTATTTAAATAAGAGGATTCATTATTTTAAAAAAGAAAGGTTTGAAAGCCACAAAAATGAAAAAAAAAAAAAACCCACCTCATTTTATGTATGGGAAACTGAGGCCCAGAGGGACAAATGGTGTCTCAAGGTCACAGTGGCATCAGCGGCAGAGCTGGTACTGTACCAGGCTGCCTGGCTCATAGGCTGATGTTTTTGCCAAGACCAGGCTGAAATGTCCCTCTTAGGAGGTAGCAGGTGGGGGTGGAGTGCTGGGAAGGCACCGTCCAGAGAACTGGGCTAAGGTCACAGCCTCCTTGGTCTCGAGGTCCCCTAAGACATCCCCGGGGGGATAGCTGCATTGGAAAGTTTGCTCAATTCTCAACTAGAGGCTGGAGGTTTAGGAGGGGGAAGGGGGAAGGTAAGGAAAGAAGAGTAGGGTGGGGAGGGGGACAGAAGACAGAGATTCATCCTGTGGGTTACTCACACCCTCACTGGCAGCAGCCCCCATCCCAAGCACCTGATTTCAAAGTCTCCCCTCCACTGGGGGGATGAGGCAGAGGGAGCTTGTGTCCAGGCATGGAGGGGGCTGGGGCGGGAAGACTGTGAATGGGGGTCCAAATTTCTTTCCACGGGTCCTGTGGATGCCTCCCTGGCTGTCACCAGCAGAAATGGCACAGTAAGGGGCTCTGTGGCACTCACTGCGTCTCCTCCAGTGCCCAGCCGGGCCCTTAGGAAATGCTATCAAATGAATGGGTCCATCCCTTCCCAGCCCCTCCACAATCACCAGCTTCCTCCCTCCCCCATCCTGTCCTTCAGAGACTACAAGGACTGACTGAGTTATTCTTAGTAGGTTTCATTCATCAAAGCAGTGTCTCAAGGTCACAGTGGCATCAGCGGCAGAGCTGGTACTGTACCAGGCTGCCTGGCTCATAGGCTGATGTTTTTGCCAAGACCAGGCTGAAATGTCCCTCTTAGGAGGTAGCAGGTGGGGGTGGAGTGCTGGGAAGGCACCGTCCAGAGAACTGGGCTAAGGTCACAGCCTCCTTGGTCTCGAGGTCCCCTAAGACATCCCCGGGGGGATAGCTGCATTGGAAAGTTTGCTCAATTCTCAACTAGAGGCTGGAGGTTTAGGAGGGGGAAGGGGGAAGGTAAGGAAAGAAGAGTAGGGTGGGGAGGGGGACAGAAGACAGAGATTCATCCTGTGGGTTACTCACACCCTCACTGGCAGCAGCCCCCATCCCAAGCACCTGATTTCAAAGTCTCCCCTCCACTGGGGGGATGAGGCAGAGGGAGCTTGTGTCCAGGCATGGAGGGGGCTGGGGCGGGAAGACTGTGAATGGGGGTCCAAATTTCTTTCCACGGGTCCTGTGGATGCCTCCCTGGCTGTCACCAGCAGAAATGGCACAGTAAGGGGCTCTGTGGCACTCACTGCGTCTCCTCCAGTGCCCAGCCGGGCCCTTAGGAAATGCTATCAAATGAATGGGTCCATCCCTTCCCAGCCCCTCCACAATCACCAGCTTCCTCCCTCCCCCATCCTGTCCTTCAGAGACTACAAGGACTGACTGAGTTATTCTTAGTAGGTTTCATTCATCAAAGCATGACAAACTGTGTCCTGGGAGGAATGCCTGGGCACCATGGGAAGCCGAGAGGTGGGGTGCAAATGTCCCAACTGAGGGGAGAAGCCATTGCCCTCAGGGAGTCCCGGCCTGAGGGGAGACACAGCCCTGTCCTCAGGGAGCCCCAGTCTGAGGGGAGACACAGCCCCGTCCTCAGGGAGCCCCAGTCTGAGAGGAGACACAGCCCCATCCTCAGGGAGCCCCAGTCTGAGGGGGACACAGCCCCGTCCTCAGGGAGCCCCAGTCTGAGGGGAGACACAGCCCCCTCCTCAGGGAGCTCCATGTGATGGAGGACACCACTTCCACATTGCCCCCTTCCTCAGACCTCGGTGAGATCCCAGTCTGAAGGGAGATCCAATTTCCTGCCCTCAAGAAACCTCTAGTCTCATGGCAGAAAAACAGCAGCCATCCCTACTGGAGAGGGCACAGGTTGCAGCTCAAGATGAAAAAAGGGTACCTGAGGGGCATCCAGAAGCATGTGCAATCACCACTGCTGCCATATGTGGGGAGCCTAAACATAATAGAGTAGAGGACTCCCAGGGACACTTAACCTAGGCCTACTTACCAAGAAACCTGCAGACCACAAGGAGGTGACAATTGTGCAGACTGAGCCTCGCCTTGAGGAAAAGGGTACAGGCACAGGCCAAGCAGGCTGGTGTCAATCCGGGGTCTCTCTTCATCAACACGAAGGGCGAGCAGAGAGCTGCATTGTCTGTAGGCTCTCAAATTCAGTACAAAAACCACGTACTCATTGCAAGCCAGGCAAAACCTCACTGAAGATGAAACTTGGCCCAAGGCTGTGAGTTTGCAACGCCCTGGACATCAGGAAAAAAGCCGATGGCCAAGTTGTCCCCTTTATGCCTGGCCTCCAGGCCTGGCTTCTGTCTTCAGGCCTCTTCCCACCCTTCCTGGGATAGGAGGCCTGAGTGGCCTCACACCTCAGCAGCTCCCTTGTGACCAACAGGCTACAGCTGGTCAGGTCTGTGATGGGGGATATCACCTTCACTGGCAGGAAAGCGAGTCCCTGCCAGGGGAAGGAGCCTGTGGTGCTTTCATAAAGCCACTGTTACATGAGCTGCTCTGGAAGTTCTGGCTAGGCAGCCTTCCCTGAGAGCCTTCGCTTTTCCATGCCTCAAGTGCGAAATGGGGACACTGTTGCCCTGCGTGCCCCACCCGCCCCTTCCCCAATATTCAACTTTCCAATAGGCCTCAGTGTTCCTGTCAACGAAATAGGTCCTGCCCCCTCCCCACTCAGACCTTTGAGGACAGTAGGCTTAGGGAAGGGGAGGGGCCGGCTCCACAACTTCAGGTCCTGGTCTAATCTGAACAAAGCCCCCTCCTCTCCCAGGTGGGGCTTCATAGCTCTCTCTTGGGACTGAGGGGCAGTCCCAGAGGGAGGCAGGAGGCAGCATTCCGTGCAGCCGGCGCTCCGGGGGATGGGGACCGGGACGGTGGCGGGGGGCGGGATCCGGGCGGGGGAGGGGCAGCCTAATGACGGTGCTTGGCCCAGCGCCGCCGAGCGCCGCGGATGCCGGCGGCGATGGGTAGTTAGAGCGCCTTAGCTGTGCCGCTGCAATCCTGTCATCTCTGGGCGCGCTCAGGTGAAGCGATGCCGGCTCGGCTGTGCTTCTGTGAGTCAGACTCTTGGAAGCCCGGGTGAGGACGCAGGGGGCGGCAGAGGCCGCGGAGAAGGGCCTCCCGCCGCGGGAGGCGCCGACACCTTTCCCTAGTGAGGAGTCACCTGTCTTGGGGCTTCTCGCCACGCGCGTCCCTTAGGCGGACGGGGACCGGCGGGGGGAGGGGGCGTGGCCTGCGCCTCCTCCCGCCTCCAGGGGCCGCCCCGTCGGCCCCGCGCCCCCGACATCGAGTCCAGCGTCCTGCCCTTTGTGCGCAGGTGGACTGAAAAGGAGTGAGGCAGATGCAATGGGCGAGGCACACAGCTCCCGAGTCCCAAATGTCCCAGAGAATCAGAGAGGGACAACAGAGCTAGGACAGCGATAGCAAAAAAGTCAGACCGCAGAAGGGGGTGAGGGGTGGAGTTCTAGCCGCGCTCGTTTAGCCGATCCCTGAAATCAATTCCGGGGGAGCGGGAGCGGTGAGCGGGAGGCCGGGAGGGGAGTTTATTTATTAGCCAGATTAGCCAGCATTAATGGGGGAGCGGTGGTGGCCGGCGGCGGCGGGGACATAGCTGGCATAGCTGGCATAGCGGCGGGGCCTCCCGCGGCGCGGGGCTCTGGCGGCTTCAAAAGGGCTTAAAGAGGCCCATGGTGGCACTGCCACGGCCCCGCGGGGGAGGGCGTGGGCGCGGGCGGCGGGGGAGAAGGTGGCCATTGTGCGCGCGCCGAGGGATTAGGGATCTGGCCTGGAAGGAATTTTAAACTGCTGCAAGCCGGAGCCCCAGGACTCTCCTCCTGCCCCACTCCTGCGCTCCCGGGCACGAGAGATGCTTACCCGCCTCCCCTTGTCGGGGGTGGAGGAGGTGCCCTGCCTCGCTCAAACTGGAGGCACCCAGAGTTGCTAGATTTGGCAAACAAAATAGAGGATGGCCAGTTAGACGGCACATTTTTTTTTTCTTTTTTAGTATGGGACATACTTACACTAAAATCTTATTAGTTGTTTACCTGATATTCAATTTAACCGGACGTCTTGTGTTTTTTCTTGGAAGCTTCACAGGCATGGAAATGTCTAATTCATGTCTCAAAGCAGACTGGGGGCTCCCGAAAATCCAAAGTTTCTCCTCCATTTGAGAGATCCCCAAAGGCAGGGGTTGTGTCTTTCCCTTCAGACTGGGAGTTTCCTGAAGCCAGATGCTGAGTTTCACCCTTCGGAATGGAGCTTTGAGGGCAGTACACGTCTCTTCCATCAGATTGGGAGCTCCCTGAGGACAGGGGCTGAATTTCACCCATCAGATTGGAAATCTGAGATCAGTGTCTGTCTCCATCACACTGGGCGTTCTCCGAGGCAGGGTCTGTGCGCTTCCCAGAGGGCAAGTCTGTGTCTGTCACCCTCCACACCCCCCGCCCCCAGACCCCCATCCCCACCCCGCACCCCTCGCTGGTGGTGGCCCCTCCCCCAACTAGTATTGCTTCTTGCCCACAGGGGGCGCTAGGGGCCCAGAGGACTGACCTATAGATGGATGGGTCCTGTTTCTTGGGACTCAGAGACGCGATCCTTTGAGGTTAATGTGCCTGGGAATTTGGGGGGGTGGGGTGTCCATCCTGTGAGGCTCCTGACCTGGTCCCGGCCCTTTCCGAGGCAGTAGAGACCCAGGTCCGCCTGGACCAGGGGCTGTGGCCAGCATGTGGGAGAAGATCAGGATGCTTGGGTAACTACTGTCTCTTCCAGGAAGGGACAGTGTGGCCTTGGTGCAGAACCATCCTGCCGACCTCCTGTCTCCTCACAACCCTTGCAGCCAAGCCCCCCTCACCAAACCCCACTGCTTAGGCTTTGCACATGCTGTTCTTTGCAGCACCTTCTGTTCCTCTCCTTGAGGACAGCTAAAGACATTGCTTCTTCTGGATGCTCTGCCTTTAACACGGTGGGCTTCTTGTGCCAGGTGGCCTTCTGGTGAAAAGAACCTTCCATCTACTCCTTCCTTCCCCACCAACTTTGGCCACAGGGGCCAAAGTGGGAGCTAAGGCGGGGGGGGGGGGGG